TAATAATCCTAATAACAATACCAATAAAAACAATAATATCTACTTAGATGACTACACACCACCTTCTGGGAATATCTCAGGGAATGTCCCCATCTCAAGCCAGACAACGAACAGTGTTTACAATACCTTATCATCATGTTCATCGTCCCTTTCCTCAACTATGCAGGCTGCTTCCAAAGACTCGTTATCATACTCATCAACAGCTGTGCCTTCTGCTACTGGTCCGTCGTGTGTTATTATTTCTGCACCCATTAATAGTGTGGAAACTAATACTAAATCCCATAAATTGACACAGAAAGCATTATCAAGGGAGTATTTGTATCCTCCTGGGAGCAAGGGCATTAGCGACCGAGATACAAATTGTAAATGTGATTGCAAAGAATCTCACTCAGTAGATAATAACATAGGAAAAAGCCCTGTCTCAGAACGTGAAAGTAAGAGGCTACAGAAAATTGAAAAAAAGCAAGCATTAGAAGATGAAGTGGATAAAGCCTTGCATCCTGATATCGCTCAGCTAGCAACTTCAGCCTTGGGAATAGGCTCATCTTTATCAGCTCCTTGCTCTCCTGCAAAGCCTCTTTTGCGCAAAACTGAGGCAGTTGACTTGGAGGAGTATGACTATTGTGAGTATTCTGCAGTAACAGTACCTGAAGTACTGAAGATATTTTTGATAATGTACTAAGTACTTTTACTAATACTGAACTACTAATATGATATTTATAATCCATTCCAGCACTGAACCATATAAATTGTTCATTGAACACATAAGCTTAACTGTAAAGAACTGAATCAAGAAGAAAATTACCTTTATTTAGATTGTTTTGTATGGATATTTTATAATGCATGAATAAGATTAACAAACTGCATATGAGTAATTGCAATTAAAATGATTCAGAAGTTGCATTAGCTGTAAAATGTTGATTTTAGTCTAATTAAAGAGAATCATGGTTAGGTGCAAGATTATGGGAGTAACTTTACATAGGACTAGTTAGAAAAATATTTACAAATGTGACTAGACTTTTATGATAGAGCTTTTTAATGAGTAATTTGGCTTTGATGATACTGATTCATTGGAAATATTAGATTAGACAAGGCATATCTATTTAGCTGCAAAGATTATGGGCACATCCAGATGACCTGCAATTGGCAAGGAACAGAAACTGCCTTCAGTTTTCTCTTTCCATACTAGAAATTACATTTATCATTATTGGCACCTACTTCTTTTTAGAAGGGGGTACATATTTCAATCTTATTGACATATTTTGGCTTAGGTAACTGTCACTGTAAACAGACAGTAAGTATGTCTATCTCTGTTTTGGTCAGGTGAAATTTAGATTGTTACTTTGTCACTAGTTTTTTCTGGTAGCATAGATATGATTGTAAAGTTATGTAAGAATATTTGTAGGGCCTCTGTAGATTTAACATGGAGCTATTGTTATTTGTATTTAAGATAAGCAGGAGAATGGGTATGTCATTGTATTTCAGATATTTTGAATTCTTATTTCAAAATATTGTTAAGGCATTTGACTCAGGAATTATTAGGGACTTTGATATAATGCAGGGTCATTGGCGTGTATTGATGGTTTCCCTATATGCACCTAGCCTGTTTGGTATTTAAAGCACAGCATTAGGCACCTAATACCTATAGTTATGTACACAAGTTTAATAGTGACACCAAATGAATAATGTCTCCACTATTGGAGCAAGACGAGCCCCTTCCAGTGTGCTGATCGAGCTGGATATGTCAGTTTGCAGTGCTATCTCAGATTCAGTCCACTACAGCATTCAAGGAGTTAAAAGAATAGAAGATAATCATTGATTTTAGTGGAGAGCAGTCAGTTAAACCAATTTGTATAAAAGGGATTCTAGAAACAGGAATAAGGAAGGAGAAGGATAGAAATACATATGTGACAAGATATTAAGTGCTGCTCCATTTTACAGATAAGAAGCTGAGTCGTGGAATATCTAAGGCAACAGACAATGTTAACATTGTATCAAAGGCTCGATCTGAATTTGCCCAGGAGATCTGGGAGGCCATCGACTCAAGCCGAACTCCATTCTTTATTGAAACTCCAATCTTTACGTTCACATTACCTGATCTTAGTATATATTCAGGTAAGTATACAAAAACACTAAACAGTGTTATATATTGAAAGTTACTGTCGTGATTTATGATATAGATGATATATTCTGATGGCATCTGATTTGTTACATTTATTTTGTTACCTGCTAAATAATCTTTTTGAAAATTACAGATGAATTTCGAATGTTTTTGGAACGTGACTTGATAGAGACATCTACATTAGTGTCATTAGAAGGTGCTGGACGTCTTAACTGGTGGGCAATGGTGGGAGCAGCTCAAAGACTCTGGCCTTTAGCAACCACAGGAGATGGTAACTGTTTGCTGCATGCAGCTTCACTAGGTAACTATCACCATGATATTTTACTATTTTTGTTTTGCATATAGTATTCTTTATCTAATTTTGACTCACTTTGAGTGGTTTAGCCATCTGTTTATCTCTTAATGTGATGTTTACCTTACCACAAGGGGAGTGCTAGTGTGCAGTTGTATTTTAGATAGGGAATATAATTAAGTCAAGGTTATTAAGCCATTCCTAATTACAAGTACATATCCTGGTGGCTAGGATGATTTCTAGAAAGCCTGGCCATGAGCCAATCAACTGCCCATACTTAGAGTGGCACATACTAGTGCACAACTGCCTCGCCAAACTCTATTGGAAATTTTACCTGTCATGAATGGGGAAAAAAAAAATACTGATAATCTGGTTTGATGGAGCATTTGATAGATGATTGCTGTCAATATGTTTAGGAAGTGATGATGAATAGCAAGGTTATATATATATGGTATAAGAAGATGACAGAATAAAAAAGTCTGGTACCAATAAAATTGGATCAGTCATCAGATTTCTGTGTAAGTGTATAAGTTAAATATTTTCACATAGCACAGAAATGAAACTGCTGTTGCTACATGCATCTACTGCCCACTGTGGTAGTTTGTAGATGACTTCAAGCCATTAGTCACAAAGGAGTCATTAACTAGGCCTACCAACATCAGAAACTAAATGTAGTACTAATTATGTCAAAATTGTTTGCTGTCTGAATTGCTGTAAAGTTTTACTTGTATAAGGATCAACAATTTAAAACGGGTTAAATGCCAAGGAAAATACCTTTGGTGGATTATTAACCCCATACTGCCATGTGGCATTTATGTATATGCCATTATAGTATTATAAACAATACTATTAGTAATGGAAATAAAGAAGATCATTTTAGAGAATTCAAGGTATAAGATAAACAAGTGAGATAAAGGTCTAGTGATTAACTCCTCAGCAACAAAGCCATCCATATTGAAATACAAATTAAGATGTTAAAATCACAGTGAACAGGGCATTTGTAGATGCATTGTGGCATTAGTGGGTTGATTTGTATCTCAGTTAAATGAGCCTGATTTTTCAGGCTTCACCAAAGCAAAGAGCTCAATTTTACTTATCAATGTGTTTTTCAGTGTCATGTTTGTGCTTCAATAGAGCACAAAATTTGAAAAGTTATTACAGTTAATGCTCACATGTATCTGAAAATGGGAGAGAATTACTCTAAACATGTAAATGATACATATAAAGCAACAGAATTATATTGTATTATATAAACTAATAAAACATTTCTTTAGACATATTTGTAATTATGTAGGCCTGCATGTATTAATAGTAAAAAGGGGCGATGTGGGATAGGAAATGATTAGGGATTTGGCTAGATATAATGTTCCATATGTACCAGAATTACTAATGCCCATTCATGACTTTCCATTTACTAAAAGGAAGAAGTGGGATAACACAACAGTATGTGACTGAGATAGAGGAGTGCCTACAAGGGGAGGAGTGGTAGGGGATGATATCATGGTAGTATCTGAAGGAAACTTGCCAAACAGTACCAGATATATTAGAGGACGCTATATGTATCTCATTGATAATGAAAAAGTCTGGCCCTCCAGAGTTGTGGTAAATAGTAATTTACATACTTGGTGTGAAAAGCCACAGCTGTTGTAAATAGTAATGCACATACATTGTGCAGAAAGCCACAACTTTGGGAAATAGAACTTCAGGGATTGAGTTAGATTTTATGAATGTTATCTCTTCATTCAAATAGTTAAAAATGCTATTACTGCTAGTATTATATGATTAACAAGTTCTTGTGTAAATTTGAAATGACTCATTGTTTTTCAGGAATGTGGGGTTTTCATGACCGCTTGTTGACACTGCGCAAGGCTTTGCATGAATTTTTGACTCGCAGTCATTTTTGCCGTCCATTGTGGAGACGCTGGAGATGGCAAGTCACACAGCAGAATAGAGAAACTGGTATGGACTATTCAGTGCTTGGAAACTTAAAATTCAGTTTCCATAAGCTCTGTGTTGAAAGGCTCTCATTAATGTTGGTGCGCATGCAATTTTCATTAATTACTCGTTATCCCAGATTAGTTCTCAGACCACAGTTTTATAATATTTCATATCTTATATTGTTGTTGTATCATTCTGTTCTGTGTTTCACTTGCTTATCGTTACTTATCCTCCTCTTTTGTTAACAGGTCTGGTATATAGCAAAGAGGAATGGGAAACAGAGTGGGCCAATGTGCTGCGCTTGGCCTCCAGTGCACCGCGAGGAGGCCAGGAATCAGGACAGGAGGAGGGAAATGAAGGTGTCCAGAGTAAAGAGAAAGTCCATACCAAAAGCGACACTAATTCAGATATCTCGGCTGCTAGCAAGAGACTTAGCAATGGGTAAAGTGACTGGTGGATTTATGTGACTTGAAATGAACTTGTTGACAAAGATATTTCTATAGAATTTAGGGTGAATGTAACTATAATGTGGCTTTGTGATGTTTACTCATGTATTGATTATTGTTATTTTTATTCAGGTTTCTTACTAGTCAGGATGATGACTGCACTGGGAGAGTCTATGAGAGCTTAGAAGAGATTCATGTGTTGGCTTTGGCTCATGTATTACGCCGTCCCATTATTGTTGTGGCTGACTTAACTCTCAAGGTGGGAGACTGCAGGGTGTATTCTCTTCATATATGGGATATTTGTTTGCTTTCTTTTTTTTTTTTTTTTTTTTTTTTTGTTGTCTGCTTTGGGCCTTACAATCTCAGGTTGGTGCCTATTCTCTAAACTGGTGTATAATCACCTTAATCTTTTCCTTCATTTTTCCAAATGGTTTAAAGGTTTTCATTGAGTGTTACTCTTATAAAATGAGGATCAAGTGGTTGAAGTCATAATTTATGCTGTTGCCAAAGCTTGCAGAAAAGATAAACCAACATTCTTTAAAACATTAGTTGCTTTGTAAGGTGTTACCTTGTAGTAAAGTATTTCCATAATGTGATAATTACACTTGGGAACTAATTTTGCATATATGAAGTAATAATTCCAAAATAAATTGTCACAAATTTTTCTTAATTTGCTTTGGTAATATAAACCATTATAAAATTCACCACTTAAGAATTCAGTGGCTGTGGATGCAATAGATGCCACTGATGAGCATTAATAGTACTTAGGGTTATGACATGAGCTTGACTCCACCAGGATGTGAGTGGAGAACCACTGGCTCCCATTCCTTTTGGAGGTGTGTACCTGCCACTTGAGTGTCCACCCAGTGAATGTCAGCGATCCCCTTTACTCCTCACATATGATGCTGGCCACTTCTCGGCTCTTGTTGTCATGGAAACTCAGCAGGATTCAAGTGCTGCTCAGCTACCTGGTCAGTTTTTGTTTTTCTATTTGAGTCCTTTTTGTTGACTTGTGTATGGTAGTACAGACTCTGGTAATTTATTCAAGTTCTTTGGTAAGTAGTTTGTTCTTTGCAATGTTTGATATGTAAGAGTCGAGAACAGGCATGAATAAAAATTTGTATGAGTGATACATAAAAAAAGACTAAAATATGCATTAAAACATTACAGAAAATGAAAAAGTAAACAGTTTTTTTTTTTGCAGTCTTTTCCCTTGTACTGAGACTGAAAAGTGTATTTATCTGTTATTTATCTCCTTATGAATATATATTTCTTTTGTGTTTTGCAGCTGTGATTCCAGTGACAGACTGTTGTCATGATCTGCTTCCCATCCAATTTGTTATTGACCCTGGGGATGATTTCCTCTGGGGAGAAGATGACCTGAATCCTACAATCATTCAGAAACTGACCATCACTAATCATGACAAAATTGGGCTCCTTAATGAGTACTTGGATATTGCACAGGTTGGTTTGCATTATTGATTTACAATTTTTATGCTTCTTAAGTATGTTACATTCTGTAAAACACACACACACACACACACACCACACACACACACACACACCACACACAACACACACCACACCACACACACACACACCACACACACACACACACACACAACACACACACACACACACCACACCCACACAGCACATCACCACATCTCACACACACACACACACACATATATATACACAATACACACACTATATATACACACATCACACACTATATATATAACACACACATATATACACACTATACACAACACACATATATTATATACATATATATATACACACACACACACCTATACACACACACACATATACACACACACACCACACACCACACAACACCACACACACACACACACACACACACACACACACACACACACACACACATTCACACAACTCTCTCACACACACTCAACACACTCTCTCTCTCTCTCGACTCTCTCACTCTCTCTCTCTCTCTCTCTCTCTCTCTCTCTCTCTCTCTCTCTCTCTCTCTTCTCCTCTCTCTCTCTCTCTCTCTCTTCTCTCTTCTCTCTCTCTGTCTCTCTCTCTCTTCTCTCTCTCTGAAGGCCAGGGTGATGGGAATGACTCTCCACAAGTGTATGATGCTCTTGGGGGTGCTCTTGATGCTCTTGTGATTAGGCTCATTGGGGATTTAGGAAGTGGCTTTTGCATTATTTCCATTGATAAACGAGAGTGGAATGTACATGTAACAAGAAGAGTGCCGGCTCCAGGGAGGACACTATTTCCATAATCAGGATCTTATTCCTGCCTACCATGACCAGTGGTACAGGTTGTATTACAGAAAATTGAATATTACAAAAAAAAATATATATATATTATGCAAATCACAAATTGTTACTTTTTGTTACTGATATACTGAGTTATGGACAACCTAGAGAGATGATATGGACTCTGCATCAGGAAAGCAATCTATGACCATCTAGGTAAAGCAAATCAAATGACCAATATAGATGTTAGAAAATGACTTTGTAAAGGGGAGGCATGGAGTCTTGTCACAGCAAATTGAACACTTGTGTGCGGTGAAAAGACTCCATGTCCTCCCCTTATGTTATTTTTCCTTTTTCTGTATAAGCATTTTTAGCTTTTTTGCTATTTTCCAATGTCTGTATTTGTTATTTGATTTACTTTATTTGGCTTACAAGGAGCACACCTCTCAGAGTGGTTGCCCAAGTAAGCCTGATAAGCCTATCAAGAGAGAAGTAGATTAAGCGCCATAAAAAGAAAATTAATTGTATGTGTTTTACTTTTCTTCCATTTAGGTGCCAATTCCACCTGACTACCTTGAGGCCTGCCAAGTAGTTGATGATGCAGATTCACCTGAAAATTACCATCCAGAAATTGAGAAAAAGTCATCTGAATCAAGTTTTGATTCAGATGAAGGTCCACCTTACTCTGATGGGATGGGTGGAATTTTTGCAAGCAAGAGCAAGGCTTCAAAGCAACTGCAAACAGTTGCTAAACAGTTTGGCAGCATAGGTAAGTCAATGTCCAAGAAAATCAAGAAAAACTTTGGAACCTTATCTAAGCTGGGTAGGGCAGGCTCTTTCAAGAAAAAAGAAGAGTATGTGAAAACTTGCAGTCTTGCAAAAAACAACCGCATGTTGAAAATATCTACACATCAGAATTTTATACTAGCTGCAATGATTCACACTGAAAAGCGACATGCTTATCAAGAGGAGATGGTGCGAAACTACCTAAACACAGCACGGAGACGATTTGAGAAGGACACAGAACTACGTAAGCGTCAGGAAGAAGAACTCAAGCAGTTGGAATTGGAGCTAGAGCATCAGGCTGTAATGGAAGGGCCAGTTCAGTGTATTAACCCAGGTTGTAACATGTATGGCACTGCAGTGACATCTTACATGTGTTCTTCATGTTTCTCTAAGCAGCGTGAGCAGGAACAGGAGTATAAGCGACAGACATCCTGTAATCTTAATTCCCCAAAGGCTCAGCATTACAAGGTTGATGGACCACAGTATGGTGCTGGCAAGTCCAAATTTTATGCTGAACTTGATGCAGCATCTGTCCTAAATGCCACCAAAATCCCAGTTGTACAAGCTCTTTCTACCAAGAAGGATGGCACACTTTTTCTCTCTAATTCAACTTTCTATAGTGACACTTCAGCTATTCCAAGCTGTAATGTAACAAAGTCGCAAACAAGTTCTACCACCAAAGGTCAGTCCATAAGCACAGAGTCTGAGATGCAGAATTCACAAAGCACTGACTCTACCCAAGGTCATTCTTCTCCATCAATGCTATCAACAACAATGATGAATCAGGTTTCAGATAGTTTCACGCCAGTGGCTGTTGATGATGTTGCAGTTTGTATAAGGGCAGAAAGTAGAGGGGATAGTTCATGCCAGCCATGCTTGATGCGTGATTGCAAGTTTTATGGTAGTTCATCAACTGGAGGTTACTGTTCCAGGTGTTATCAGGAACATCACACGATGGGAATAGGTCCCAAAAGTGTTATAGTCCAGCAGATAAAGTCTGTTGAACTATAGCTTATAGTTGATATTGTGATGTTGATTGATAGGAAATAAAATGCCTGTAATATTGTATTGAGTTCAAGTTTTTGGTGTTTTGACCCTCATTCATATAGCTTATGGGCATTTTCTTTTTCTTTTTTTTCATCTAGTCGTAGTGCCATAGTCACTGTGAAAGAAATTGGTAGTATACTGAATTTGATATGAAATTTTAAGAATAAAACCTAGTGCACTTATCCTAACACTAGTTGGAGATAGATGTGCCTTGAATTTGAAGGGTTTTAAAGAAACATTTTTTTGGATATTTCTGATGTTATAGAGATTGTTTAGGATAACAAAGTGAAAGAATGTGTATCCATCACATTATTTTGACTTGAAAAATAGGATGAAGCTGTTTCTGTACTAGTGTGTATAATGAGTAACAGGGACAGAGCTCATGTGTATTCTTTTTCACCTTTCATATTGTTGATATTCATGAGGAATGCATTGATGAGTCTACCCTGCTTGTCATATGCACAGGGAACATGAAGGTTTTAGATGGCATGAAATATGTATCCTCATCGTAGATAAGATAATTGTATTTTTCTTGAGCAGTTTTTCATGACATGAATGTTATCTTGAAAGCATCTTGACATTGGCTGTGCGAGATGTTTATTTCTTTGAAATTTTCAGGATTTATATCCAGTAATCATATTGTACAGTTTGTTCCACTGATATACTTTTTGTTGTTCTGTGACAAAATCATATTAAAATCACCTTTTCTATCTACTTTCATATTATATTTGAAGACAAGGGTGCTAATGGCTTGTAATTTTTCAGCCTCATTGATGCAACTTTGTGACCAACTACTGTTAGTAAAGGTGATCTTGACCCTGGGAGACATTGTATTGGTATTGCACAATGTTTTATTTATGCAAAATGAAGTGGAATTACTCTACATCAGACTTTCCATATATGCACATTTACACAAAAATCAGAAATTGAATCTCATTAAGGCATATACAATAAATGAAGTGTAATTATAGAGTATAATAAATCTCGGAATTCAAGTAGAACACATTTGGATTATTGGATGGTTCACAGAGTCTGTCAAGATGACCCAAACACATATTCAGTTATGATGTAGCCATAACATCTGATTTCTAAGAACAGGTTTTATCACAAATTATTATTATTTTTTCTTTCCTTTTTCCTTTTTTTCTTTTTTAATTAATGTAATGCTGTATATATATCTAAATCTTATATCTCAGAGGACAAATGCATTTTGAAGGCTTGCCAAAGGAGCTGTGAAACTGCCAAATTGTAGTTTCTTAGTTGGAAGCATAACATGTAAAGAGTGATATTTGGATAAAACAGGGTATAATCCATTTTTGTATAAATGCCATATTGATTTTTGCAGTTATAAGAAAACTGGATTTTACTGTAATTTTTGTAAATTGTACAGATTCCTCATTTTGTAAGATACGGAAAAAATAATCACTTTGGAACATTGGAGTGAAGATGGGTTTATGTAGAGATGTAGGATGTGCTCGAATGTAGTCATTAGAATTTTCTCCTTTTTTGGATTGCCAACTGTTTTAGAAAATGAGCACAGATTTTTCGTTAATAGCACATGCTACGACTGTGCTAGTTTGGCTATCTTGATGAAATTATTTTAGAAAATTGTAAAAATGTTATCATTATTTCCAGAGAGCTTTTTTTGATAAGATCTAGGAGACAGTGTCCATGATATAGTGCTTAAGAAATTTTCAAATGGTTACTATAGCTATGGTTATTTCAGAAAGTTAATCCTGCCATCTACATCTCATGCAAAGTGTTCATCTACATCTATAATCTTCCTCCTTTGCAGTAGTATCCTGTCAGTCATCATGCTGTAAAATCAATGATTATAGTTGTTCCAGTCCTTTTTTGGCACTAGCTATCTAAGGCCTCTCTCGCTTAACATCGTTTGAATGCTGACCTTGGGTTTTCAATGTATATGGAGAAACAGATGAAATTGCAAAGAAAGAAATATATGTGTGGTTCCAGTATCATAATTAGCCGTAAGTGTTATCTTTGTCCTATAAAGAAAAAAAATGAAAAATTAATGTTACACAACAGACATTATATGCAAGCACTTATATGCATCAGTAGCAGTTCCAGTAAGCCTGCAAGCACAGGAAGAGTTATATAACAGATATTCATTATTTATGTTCCATTTATTAGTTTTGAGTGTTATTGTTGTTGTTGACTGTTACTGGATTTAATTTTTTTCCAGTGAGTTATTTGGTTTCCATTTTTGTGTTTCTAATGCCTTGCAAGCTGTCATTTATTCTTCTTGAAACATTGCTGGCCTTAATTTTAAAATGAGTAAAACAGGATTCAAAATTAATGAAAAAAGAAGAGAAAGTTAAGCCTTATTATTTATGTAAATGTGCATATATGAACATGATTCCGGTATTGAACTTTTTTTTATTTTACTCGTATTATTTTTGCTCAGTAATTACATAATGATTTTAGCGAGGCTCTCAATCTCGCACAAGATCATTTGAATGGTTAAGCTTTGGTGGGGATTCCTCAATGTCAATGACCACCTTAATTAATGGTATCTTTTATGAAGATTGAACATGTATATTGTTACTACAAAGTGAATGTTATCAGGATTTGGATATCTATTTTTTGTCATATAATTTGTCTAATTGTGGTTATATATGAGATTATTTATTTGCATATCAAGCTGTGCCCACAGGGTGAGTGTGTTCATGGTTCTTTGGCAATATGGATATATATTGACCATTAAAAAAGGTGGCTCACGTGAAATACATATATATATTTTCTTACTGTACTCTGCTGCCTCAAGTATGATAGTATATCTGTGCAGGCCTGTTGGTAGATTAGATACATAATGTAATCTACAAATTTAGTAGTGAGTCTTAAAAATGGATCATTAATACTTTTAAGCAATAGGTATGTTCTCTGTGTATTACTATTCTTCTCCACATGCTTAAATCTTTTCAGAGAGTGTATATTGATTGCCCAAAGAAAACTTTCATATCTATAAGAATCTGCTGTTCATTTGTCTTACATTAAGGAAGGATTGTAAATTATTGCTGCACATTTTTTGCCTGTATAGCAGTAGCAAAATGTAGCAAAAAAAGTTTTTTCTGGTATAGGTGTGAGGTTGGCCTTATGCTTGGGTAAGCTGGTGTCCAATATTTTTCATATATTAGTAACACCTGATCTGATTTTGATGAATATTTGTATAAACACAAGATGCCTAGAAGGCAGAAGAAACATGAATTAGGTTTAGCTCCTGATATATCAGTGTAACCCTGTAACCGGTGGAGAATACAGTTATCAGTGCTTCTTCACAATGCAAATATCAGTAATGTTTTGCACATGATATTGAAAGCCCAACTGCCGTAATGTTGTGCTCTGCGGTACTATATGTTCTTGATGATTATCTCTCATTTGTTAACAGTTGTGTGTAGATTAGTTTTGATATCACAGGTAAACTGTATTTTAAAATACAGCTCTCTTCCATTTGAGAAACTTGGTAAATATTTTTAATAGAGGAATGTGCAACTCATTTTTGTACAAAATATTTATTTTCAATTGTATAGCACGGATTTCTGTCTTGTAAATAACTACTTGCTTTGAACAAGTAACATTTGTACAAATACTTTATGTTAGGATGATCAGTTGAGAACATGGTAATAGTTTTTAGTTAGTGGTATCATATCATTTATCATTAAATATGTGAATTTATAAATAGGTTATAAGGAATTGGGAGAATAGTATTGAGACTGAATCTTTATGAAGAGAAAAGAGTCTCTGGCATAGCTACCCATATAATTCAGCAAGAAGCAAAAGAACTCATCAGTCGGAAGTAAACAATACATGTTTTCTTGATACTTGTTAGAATTTATGTATTATTCATGAATGATCTTCAGGTTTTTTTTTTTTTTTTTTTTTTTTTTTTTTTTTTTGATTTTAGTTCCAATATCATTTTCCAATTCTCCCTCTTTGTCTCTTTTTTTTATACTTTGTCCCAAAAGATATGTCTTTTTTATGATAGCTTTATGAACTGTGGTTACACTGCATCTTCATTATTAAATGCCACAGAGCTGTTTTATGTTGATAACCATAATTGTGGACTAATTTGCTGTAAATTGAAGTAGTGTTGCAAATTCTTCAGAATATTACATGATCTGTAAAATGATGGAATATAACGTATGTATTGAACTTGTACAGGCTGATGGAACCTGCTGATCCTTTTTAGATACTGCAAATTTTGCATATAAATGTTGTTGTTTTTCATTCATTATATGTTTTCCATTTTGATATTGCTGTAAGAGAAATGCAACCACAAAGTGCTTTTATTTTTTTCTGAGATGCTTTATTTGAGCTTTAGGAAGCCTCAAAATGAAAGTATGGTTTATTCTCATATGCATGATAATGTATTTTATTTTTTTTATTTGTAGCATTAGCAGCAGTAGCAGCAGCTCGAGGACTAGTACTAGTTCTAGTACCAGTTGTGGTAATTGTAGTCATCATAGAATAGTAGCTATAGTAGTAGTAGTCATAGTAGTAGTCAGGGGTGTCATTTAGGGGGGGCCTGGAGGGTAGTTCCCCCCCAAAACTCTGATTGTCCCCCTCAGTTTCTGGCTAACCCCCCCTCCCCTCAAGGACCAGACCCAGATTTTCCCCCGTAGATTATACCTTTATAGCTCTGGTTGTACCATAAAAATGCTCCTAGAATAGCTAAGTTTTCAAAACAAAAACTGATTGTACTTGCTTTGCTTTCCAACCTGCCCCCTCCCCCCCAACAGAAAAGACTGAAATGATGCCCTTGATAGTTGTAGTAGTACTAGCCCTAGTAGCAGTGATAGTAATTATAATCATAATTACAGAGAAAAATTGGAGGTAATTTTATATGATAAAAAAGACACTATTTGAAACAGTTTCTCTGAAATACTGCTTCTTTTGCTTTTACTACTTCTGCTACTACTCAGTTACTTTTACAATCACCACAATCGCAGATCATACTTCTACCACTTGTATTGATACCACCACCACAACCACCTCTACCATTACCATTACTTCTACTGCTACCTCTACCACCTCTACTACCAATGTTTCAACAACACCCACTTGCTGATATTGCAGGTGCTTTTATTTTCAATACTCTTACTGTTTTCCATTAGTATTTCAGTAACAACATTTATATGTACTATTACTCTTTCAGTAACTAATAGCTAACCGTACTATGACTTTTACCGCTATATTTTAATAATCAACTGTTGCTGCTAATATGACTTTTTCTATCATATTTCTATAGATGATTATCAATACTACTTTGATTTACTACTACTTCTATGGGAAATGCTACTAATAATGCAGTAGCTACCTGTTCTTAATGCAGCTAGTACTTCTTTTATTACCACAATCACTGATCCTACTTCTGCTGCTCCTGCTGATACCACCACCACTACAGCAACCTCTGCTACTTCTATGCTCTATTTTCTATTGTTACTATAGTTATTATTACTGCTTGTACCATTGTTACTACAAATGCTACTACTACTACTACTACTAACCTGCTAGCACTACTACTGCAATACTAATATTATCTTTGCAGTTCCTGACATTTTATCTCTTTTTTTTTCCTGTAATGATGAATTTCCACATAGGATTTAGTCTAGATTCTACATTCCCCCAAAAGGTTGTGTTGATAAGATGGATGAGTCAGCATTGCTTCTCTCATCCAGCTGAGTGATTGGAAAGCAGGGTTTTTGTTCAACTGTGTTATCACTAGTAATTATAATTGCTATTATTGTTATTATTATTATTATTATGTTTTTATTACTATTATTTTTATTATTTACTATATTTTTATTATTTACTATTATTTTATTATTACTATTATTTTTATTGGTATTTTTTTATTTCTCTTTTTCATTGTTATTTTTATTATTTATTATTTTTATTATAACTATTGGTACAGCTTTCTTTTTATTATAAGATGATAATGATGGTATTTTGATATTATTATTAACATCATTATTTACAAGGTTTATGATGAATCTGATATTTATTATTATTATCATTATTTCTCTTTATTGTATTAACTTTTTTTTAGTTTCTGGTTTTGTAATCTTTCAATTTGATTCCCTTTCTAGTCACATT